ATGGAAAAATAAGATTGACAATTCATGAGAGTATCATCAGTGGTCATTAAAACAAAGTTATGATAATAATGACCAATAGCGATTTTGTTAGTTATTTGAATTAAATTATTTTGTTTAATTCTGCTACCATTAGTATGTGTGTGACTGTAAATACTCGAAGATCGACTGTCACTATACTATCAGAAGTTTCCATGTGAGCCATCAATCACCGACTGCTATTTTTTTTATACATTTTTTGCGCCAAATGTTTTACCTCTAAATGAAGCATCTTCAGGCAAATTATTATATCACTACTCGGAGCCTAGTGTGAAACGTTCGGTGCTCAAACCGCGAATTACATTTTTTATCATGTATATTTTCTTTCGTCAGGTGTACTCCAAGTTTGTCATTTTAAGTTATTGTATGGAAACAAATACCAATATTTATTATTTTCCATCATGGTATAAAATAAAAACGTAAAATCTATCGACCCGTAAAGATTTCATTAAAAATATCGTCCAAATGTGAACGGTAGCGAGTCAGAAATGGTGGGTGTAATGTAACTTTACCCTATTTGCTTGGCTCCTTTGTGGAAGGGTGCAGGCTCGGGTAACGAGCGTTACCCACTTGTAGGCACCCCTACACGACCGTACATGTTTTATTATTTACGACCTTTGCCCTTTATGTATGTTTTTAAGCTAAGATTTTATTGCTATCGTATTCATGAGATAAATCCGTTGCAATCTCCGAATGAGTGTTGTTAACTTGTCTAATTGCGCCTACATTATTTATATCAGATAAAAATAGGTATTTACTAACTAAAATAATATATTTATGTAGATATGTGTTACTTAGGTGTTAGCGGTAAATATAATTAAAAATAAGAGAGTTTTAGTATCAAACATCATAATTGCAATGATTTCAGGTATGACAACGTGTGAGGGATACCATGGACATGGCAATATATTTTACTGTTTATGACTATAGGCGACGGTTTTTTCTAATGGGTAAAAATAAAATTAAGACCCCGCCTGTGAACCAGTGAATGGTGGAATGGCCCATCGTGACGAATTCATGAATTGTTTACTATGATTTCTAATCATGTTTTCTAGTTTTTAGGGGAAACCACGTGAGGTCGATTTGACAAGGTATATTGCTAACAACTGGGCTGTTAGATCCCATTACTAACCCTTTCCCCCTTCAAGCGACGGTTACCATTCACCATCACGTTGGTCGTCAGACTGTTTGCCATTCTAAGTAGCGTAAAAAATTGTGAGTAGGTATCATTGATAGGGTTACGATTTTCCAATATAATATTTTTATATAATATTATTAATTATCATTATTGGTATAATAAAAAGTTATACAGGTAGAACTAAACATAATTTCCCAAAGAAACTTGTGTTTGATATGGAAATGACAGTTTTTTACAAAGTAATGATATAAAAATTAATGCTAAGACACATTTAGTTTTTGAGCTATTCAATAGTTTTGTATACCTCTGAAAATGTATCATAAAAAATTCTACAATGCTTTACTCCCCCTTTGTATGAGCATTAGGGGCTCGAATTTGTAAACGTACAAAAACATGTGCAATTGTGCATTGTCCAAACTGAATTTTATAGTCTTATAGAGGTTTGCAAATTTTTTCGGTTTATTTATTGTCGAAATTGATATACAACATTTAAGATACTATTATTAACAGTAATCTGTTCGATAAGTAAAATTGACCATAATTAAAACAAATGAAAACTACAGACCTTATGTGACAAAGTCACTTAGTTATCGTGTTAGTGCTGAGTAATTTTTAATGGACTTTCTAATGGATGATAATAGGATGGTAATCTCACCTGCGTTATTGGTATTCACTGACGCACTGGCATTAGTGAGTGATAATAGGTGAGAATGAAACAGGTCAAGCCCCATTGTGATAAATACATGAAGAACCACGATGGCTTAGAGGGACCGCTTGGAGGTCGTCCTGTCTATGTATATAGTTAGTAATGGGGTTATTAGTCTCCATTTGTAACCATCACTTTCATTCTCAGTTTTGCATAGTTAGCGATTAGAGTGCGGACAATAAAGTTTTATGTATCAAAACCGATAGATTGTTATAACAAAATTTATTATAAAAAATAAAATGTTATTAACCACATTTTATATTTTAGACTTCCTTTTGTTTAGACTTGCATGATTTACGCTTTATTGTAATACGATGTTTAAATGTACATTTAACACTTGTTTATTAAACAAGTGTTAAATGTACATTTTAACTTTTATATAGCAAGAGCGTAAAGATTCAAGGCAGACATCATCGGTACAACAATAGTGCTATACGGATCTCTAAAATTTTTATTTTTTTATCAACTAACATGCCGACATCTCTTTCATGAGTGAAATCAAAGTGAACACGTTGCCAGTAAAGGGTATGTCGGAATATTGAAGTCACCCCTTGCCGAATTAACTTAACATCCCAATCGACATATCGTTTCGTACAACGGTTTGTTTACGGTTCAGTCCCCACAAGTTCAAGTTATCCTAAGTGCACATATTATAGGGGATAAGATATCAAGTTATTGGAAAATACTACTTCCTTATTCCTTTTACTTTCTTATGAAAGGAAATATTTTTTAAGTATATGGTACCTATAATTTTTTACTCATATATTAACTAAACTAGTTTTTAACCGCGAATTTGACAGCATTATCGGATTACGTTGACTGACCAGGATAAAAGTAGCCTATGCCGTTTTTCGTACTAAATACTAAGTATTAAATCTTTTAATGTGTCCAATATAAATTATGTACAATAAAAATTTTACAATACAATACAATATTATGCGTATACGAAAATTCTAAATAAAAAGTCGAGTTGTCAAGATGTTAAAAAGAAACAATAAACTCACTTTTATATTTATAATACCAGCTTTATCCTTCAGCTTCGTCTGCGTGAATTAGTATATTAAATAAAATATGTGCTAAGTCAGTATATAATGTATCCATGTACCTTATTTCATTTAAATACCGTTCAATAGTTTTTACGTGAAAGACTAATGAATGTCTATCTAATTAAATAGCCTCATAAACTTTTGCATTCTTAATATTAATAGGTTTATTCTGTGTCTTACCTTGTTAATGTTGCTACATAATATTGTTACATAATGATAATGTAGGTACAATAGATAATAGCGCTCAAATCTTTCATCTTCAATAATAGTTTTATACATTTGGTCTAATTAATCAGATTTTATCTTTACTTATTATCTCCAATCTAATAGGTACTAATATCACATCAGGATAAGCCGAGACCACAACAGGATTATTATTTATTATATTTATTGAACTTTAACACAGGTATTCACTTATTCATAAAAACGTTAAACCTTTTATAAACCTATTTTAGATATTGAACTGTTTTGTCCCTTTTTTGTGGTAAATTCCCAATTTGAAAGTGAGTGTAAGCGTTAAAATAGATTTGTAGGTTTTAATTGTTATTAATAAAGGGTTTAGTGTGAAAGGAGGATTTAATTACTATATGATGTTATTTATTAATCAAATTTATATATAATTACTAGCTGACTCGGTAAACGTTGTTTTACCATATACGTTGTTTCGAGAACTATACATGAAAATTTATCCTACTACAATTATTCGATTGCCATCTTGCAACCTTTTTGCGGAATATAAAAATCGCGCTTAAAAAACAGAGGTTAATCGTAAAAGGGTGAAAATTTGAAGTTGTATGTATTTTTCAATGCTAAATCATATTTAAATAAAAATAAAATATTTTGTCAAAAAAATAAAAAAAAATTTTTTAGGGGTGGGTCACCCTTTGGTTGAGGGGTACAAAAAATAGATGTTGGCCGATTCTCAGACCTATCGAATATTCACACAAAATTTCATAAAAATCTGTGAAGTCGTTTCGGAGGAGTTTGTTAACAAACACCGTGACACGAGAATTTTATATATAAGATTTGTATTATTTTTTGATACCAGCTATTAAACATATAATTCGTGACCCAAGACAAAGTGTCTTCCTTTATATGTAGTGTATATTGTCACTGTCAAAGCGGAGATCAAAGAGGGCGCCAGTCGCAGTCGACTGACAAACGAGCCGCGGTGGTTAACCAACCGTGCTTGGCAACAGGGGTGACGCACTTCTTACTTTTACTTCGTCGAACTATTATTTTATTTGTACTTTAACTTATGAAAAAAAGGCTTCCAAAGTTGTCATCACAATGCAAAATTTATAAAGACTAAAATAAATTGTTAAATATTTTTTCATTTCTATTTAATTCTTTATTAGCTTTTTAATTTTTTTTTACATATTTTTTAAATATTTTATATAAGTATTTTTTAATGTTTTAAATATTTTATTTTAATTTAAAATAACTATCGTAAATATGTATTAGGCGTTAGTGAAGTCGAATGTAAAAAATAAATATATATAAATAAAGTCCAAAATGCATTCGAATATTTCGGAATCATAACAAACAGTCGTTAAATGATTTTTATTTTAGTGCAGGTTTTTACTCTTTATCAACCAACTCCTAAAAGGATAAGTTTCTAAACTTGACTTGATTTTTGTGTGTAATATGTTGATGATATTTTTCTAGTATTTGCGTATTAGATTCCTGCTAATTTTGTACTATATATAGAAAAAGATTTCTTTTAACTAAAATCTTATAGAGTTTTTCTCTTCTCTTAAACGAATGAAATCATTAATTACCATTATCTTTATTAAAATTATCGTTATCTTTTTTTGTTTTTAAATGTAAACTGATATTATAAAGAGGAAAATTTTCATTTTTTGTATATTTGTTTTTAATGGATAATCTCAAAAACCACTAAATTTGTTTTAAAAATTCTTTCACATATACAGCAACATTACACTGGTAAACACTGTTTTTGTCACACGAACTTTATGATGATTTTTATTTGTTTTGATATACCCTCATTAAAAAAAAAAAAAAAAACTATTATTTTGTTTCAGTCACATCTAGTTTTTTTTTGTGACAGCTATATATTCTTTTCTGACCTCATTTACGTTTTTGTTTGAATAATTTTAATTTAGGCGATTGTATAATAATTGCATTTAACGAAATTACGTTTGTTACATTGTAAATATGCCGCGAAAGTGTTCTAATAACCCGGACAGTTTTTGTAATGTGTGTGGAGAATTAACTTTTACATCTCAAATTTACAAATTGACTATTTTCGTTTATTAAATACAATAAATATATTTGGAAAATTTGTGAAGATTTTAAAGTCATTGCTCTTTTGGTTGAGTTATAGCTTGGTTACATAAAATATTGCTGTTTAATTTGTGAATGGGACAACAGAGACAGAAAAAGTCACTACACAAGGAAAGTATGGCCCAAGCGTGGATCACTTACCAGGGCAGAAGATTGTTAAAAATGATCCTTTAGTAAACCCTGACGACATACTTTTAACACCATTGCATATATAGCTCGGCCTAATATTTTCTTTTTGTAAAAGCTGTGCCTAAAAATGGCAGTGGATTTTTATACCTGAAAGAGAAATTTCCCAAACGCAGCGAGGTAAAAATTAAAGAGGGAATATTTCTTGGTCCACAAATACGGGAACTAATGAAGGATAAAAACTTTAAAGGAAAGCTGAATGATCTGGAAAAAGTCGCCTGGAAATGTTTTGTGAATGTAGTCCAAAATTTCCTAGGAAACCATAAAGCGAAAGATAACAAAGGCTTAATCAATGAGCTTATAATTTCATACAAAGCTTTGGGAAGTAATATGTCTTTAAAATATATATCCTGCACTCTCATCTGGATTTCTTCCCCGAGAATTTGGGTGCTGTGCGTGACGAACAAGGCGAAAGATTTCTTCAGGACATTTCCTTAATAGAAAAGTGCTATCAAGGGAAAAGGAGTCCAGGAATGCTAGCAGATTACTGTTGGAGACTTAAAAGGGACCTACCAGAAGCCAAACATTCACGAAAATCATAGCTATTTATTGTACATTAAGGAATATTTAAATTAAGTGTTTTTTGATTTTATGTGTTTATGTGATTTTTGTTCTTTTTATAAAATATATGTCTTGATATCACAAAGAAACCTGATGTGTCAATTTTTTCTATTGTTATTGTTTGGTGGTCATAGTATATTTAAAATTTGGTATAAGTTTTCGTGTGACAAAAAAAAATTAAATTTTGTTGACCAGTGTTATGAGAGAAACACAATATATAAATATAAAAATGAAACAAAGAAATAAACAATAAAGAGAGCTTTATTGACAACCACATAAACTTTACATAAAAACACACATAAAAAGACAATAATCTTAATTTGTAAGAGTATGCTATATTTTATTTTATAAAAAAAACATAGGATTCGATTTCGATTCGCGCCACTAGTCAAATGTAATGCGTTTTTATCTTTACGTAATTTTTTTAATTTATACCTATAATAACTATTTTATTTTCAGGATCTGAATTGAAAATGTCATCACAATTGGAATCAAGATCGACAAAGTTACAAACATGTAATAAGTTCGATACGAGTTGTTATCTCGTAGTAAAAGTTATGTGACGGTGCTAACATCTATTGAAACTGTAACGGTTAAATGATAAACTGTGTAGACTTGGACGATGCACTTGTCGAGTGAAGTGAGTTCGACGACTAACGGGCTAGGTCATGAGGCACCGTCGTCGAGCTATAGCGGTCTGCCAAGTCAGCCACTCACGGCTGAGCTGCTGGCTGAGAGAACCCTGGAAGGGTTACTAGCTGATCATCCTGGGGAGTTAGTTAAGACTGGAAGTCCACATGTTGTGAGTATAATCCAGTTGTTTTTTATAATACATTTATGTTATGTCTTGTGTTTTCGTGTTTGTTATTACTATAAAATAAATAAATTAGTTTTATTCAGTATTTTTTTTTTCATATGCTTAACTTGTTTATTTATATTATAATACACCATTTATAAAGAAATATAGTAAATTATAATGTTAAGTGATGCAAAAGACAAAATATATAAATATTTAAAGTATAATGTACTTTTATTTTCAACAATGTAGGTAGTGGGAGAAAAAATAATATAAATAAATTTCATAATTTTTCTGTCCATTTATCTGTGGTTATAAAGCTTAAACGAATAAACAGATTTTAAAATATATTTTATTAATTTAAATAAATTTTATTTTTCAATAGGTTTGTAGATAGATTTAAAATTGTAGAACTTTACCGCAAAAAAGACGCCGTTTGTCGTATCTCCTCACTTTCAGGGCACTTCCCTTGATAAAAAGTCGAGTCTAGGAATTCTGGGCGTTGATATATCTTGCGACGTCCAGTTTTGCGGTCATCTGGAGGAGAAGGCTAAGATAGCTTCCAAGAAGTTAGGAGTGCTCAATAGGGTGAGACGATATTTCATGCCAGAACACCGCCTGAAATTATATAAAGCCCAAGTCAGGCCGCATATGGAATACTGTTCTCACCTGTGGGCAGGAGCGCCACAGTACCAACTCCTTCCGTTAGACCGCATTCAAAGTCGGGCGGCTCGAATTATCGATAGTCAACGCCTTACTGTCCGACTTGATCCACTGAAGCTGCGCAGAGATGTTGCATCTCTGTGCATCTTCTACCGAATTTATCATGGGGAGTGTTCTGAGGAATTGTTCGGATTGATACCTGCTGCTGATTTTCACCACCGTACAACCCGCCACAAACTAAAGTTTCATCCCAATCATCTGGACGTGTGGCGGTCTTCCACCGTGCGTTTTTCAAGGCACTTTCTTCCACGCACAACCATTCTTTGGAATCAACTTCCAGCAGCAGTATTTCCGAACCGATACGACAACATAACCTTCAAGAAAAGAGTATATTCCTTTTTAAAAGGCCGGCAGCACACCTGCAATGCCGCTGGTGTTGTGGGTGATCATGGGCGGCGGTAGTCACTTACCATCAGGTGAGCCGCATGCTCGTTTGCCCCCTGTGTTGTAATAAAAAAAAAAAAAAAAACTTTTTACAGTTGAGTATAAACTACTTTATTTTTAGGTTTGCACAGTACTCCCACCACACTGGCGTTCGAATAAAACGTTGCCTGTGGCATTCAAAGTGGTGGCACTGGGTGACGTTGGGGACGGCACGCTAGTCACAGTCAGAGCTGGCAATGATGAGAATTGTTCCGCGGAATTAAGAAATTGCACAGCGGTCATGAAAAACCAAGTGGCAAAGTTCAATGATTTGAGGTTCGTCGGTAGAAGCGGAAGAGGTGAGTGAATCGTGAAGTTTTAAAAATAAAATTTCAGACTACCCCAATATTCTAATGAACGTCGATAGCCGATTATATATGACGATTCGTCAATATATCATTTTGCTACTACTGGTCACACTGTCTGGAAGATTGCTCATTACGCCAACGTAATGCCAAACTAAAATGGCACTAGTCTTAGACTTTCGCGTTGTTTTATGTATTTTATTTACAATTTTAAAATAATGGAATGAACACGATTACTAGGTTTTTTTTAATGGATGAATAATAGAATGGTAACCCCGCCTGCGCTATCGGTATACGCTGGCGGGGCACCAGTGAGGGGGTGATAGGTGAATAATGAAAAAAGGCAGGTCAGTCAGCCCATCGTGACGAATACACATGGAACTCAGCACGATGGTTTCTAGGGGGAACCGCGTGGTGGTCGATCTGACAGGGTATATTGCTAGCAATGGGACTGGTAGCCCGCATTACTAACGATCCCTTCCCTCCCGATTACTAGGTTATATACCTATAGATTATCTAGAAGTGGCGACTGATGTAGTGAAGTTACACCTTTGCTTAAAGAAAGTTACATCTTTGCTTAAAAAGTGGCATTTTTGAGCAAAGGCGTGACGCGTGCGAGTTATAATATCACAAACATATAACGATATGGCATACAACTAAAGCACTAGTTTAGCACTTTTATAATTTTGTTGACTTTAAATAATGATAACTTTTGATTTTTTTTTTTATAGTAAAAATTACTTACATTTGCAAATTAATAAAATATCTTATATACGTATATCTGCCTGTAAAATATTAAATTACAGTGTAGTTATATTTTAGGGTAAGAGAAACAAGAGCATAATATTCGATGGTAAGCTACTTAAAGATTTATTGCATAGATTTTGTATATTTGGGCCTCAACAGATCAATTACCTCCATTGACTTAATATTCTAACAAAGAGAAGACCTGTTAAAATATTCAGAAGGCAAGGCGAGTGGGGCTTTGTTTTTGAGAGCTCACTCAAGGGAGAGGGGGATTTTTTATGGGCCCTATCTCTACATTATCGTAAACATTCATATATGCTTCCAGTATTATATATACGAATTTATGAAATTTTAAACAAAATATGTTTCTTTTTATTAGTTATTTATTCACAAGATATCAAATCCCTGCACACCTGTAATTTTTCGTGGGTATTTAACATTCCTATTCCCGGTTGAATTATTATAAAATATCTTTTGTGAGATATTATGTACTTTTTATCTGATCATCTCCTCTGGAACATCTTTTGGGCAATTTTATGATAATTTATTAAAATTGACAGCAAGTTGCATAGATACGTAGACAAATAAGTAGGAAACAAAAGATGTGTTTATTTTTCGGAAAACTTATATACTTATAAAAAAGCACACATTTTGCGGATTTTCTACTTTATATAAATTATATCTATATTATAAAGTCTTTAAAGTTATAAAAGTGACTTTAACTTTACGGACTCGTGTTTTTAATTAGGGTATTTACTCATGAACGATTGAATATTTTTCCTTAGAAGCGTTACAAGGAAAATTATGATTTTCTTACCAATTTATAAAATATAAAAAAAAACTGTGGCAATTGGAGTAACTAGTGTAGCTAATAATGTCAGATATTGGATCAATTCTAAGGAATTTTTTTCTCATAGCTTATCAGATCTTCGAGTTATACGGTCGGTTCTTTCAGTTAAACTTGCTGATCCTTCTGGTGATCAGTATATGTCGGCCCTGTGAATGACACATTTATTCACAATTTGAACTATATTATGGCAAATGTACTTTACAGTTCTGCCTGCGTGAATTGGGAGAAAAATATTTTATGTATTAATTTAAAATTTAATCTGTAGTATACCAAATTTCATTCAAATCCGTTTAACATTTTAAGAGAAATTGAATAACAGACGCCCAAAGAAAGTAAATATAAAAATAAATATATATAAAATTTTTTTTTTTGCAACTTAGAATGGCAAACAAGCTGACGGTCCACCTGATAGAAGTGGTAACTCGCCTATAGACATGAGCAGTACCATGGACATAACAGGTTGTAATTTTCGTAATGGAATATGAATACTTAAGCGGTCAACCGCCTGTAAATGCGCGGCGTCTCGACATTTGCACTTCTAAAGTTTCTACTACGTGGACACGCGATTAGTGGGTGATTGCCTTAGAGCTTTTGTATTTTATTAACTAGTAGAACGCTGTTTTCTCTCTTCCTTTGGTACTAAATTTCTAATTTAAAAGAATGTGACAAAACAGTGTAACAGCTAAAATAGTTTTGTAGATTTTTGTTTTTATGAGTAAGGAAGTAAATGTGGTTTACTGCTAATTAATTAAATACGTTACTATGTAATGCTATAGTAACGCAACATTGTCATTTAATTCCAAGTTTATGAGTGTATTAACTAAGCTATATCCTGGTTGGATTGCGCTAGTTGCTTTATGGATATATACTAAATGACTGATAAACGTTGGTTTATACAAACTTTTATTTTTATTTACTCTCCTTAAATATATAAATATAAAAATCCAAATATGTGGGTCTACTTTTGAATCTAATACCAATATAATGACAATTTTATACTGCACTCATGGAACAGGAGTTAGGAATTAAGTCATAACTGGGATCGGTTTACTTAGTTTGCATTGACAAGTTATACTAATTTGCCTCTATTATAACAATATTGAACTATTATGTCGCTAATACTGCAATTCGAGAGCGCGAAGTCTCAATTTCAATATCCATTTATTGCAATTTATTTCAGGAGTAACCTAGCACTTTATTCGCTTGCAAATGATGCACTTATCAATAAACAAGTCTTAATTTTTATTTATTTATTTATAATTATTTTAAAAATTATTGGGGAATTCAACGTGAAAGTTACTGTCATGGTATAAAATAGATCTTAAACATTAAAGGTATAGCGGTGCGGTAAACCGTTAGCACTTATAGTACTTCACAATTAAGTTTTAGGTCTCCTAGTAGTTTGTAATCGATATCATATCTTTTAATCCTTTTATGTAACTTATACGCTTTGTGCCAAAACGTATATGTATTTTTTTTTTATTTTATTATCAATTAAAATACAAGTTACAGAAATTATGCTACATTAGCATTCAGAAACCACGTAGGTTTATATTAAAAAGAGTTTCATATTAAGAGCGTTCATATCGAAGCTTGTCTAAGTATCTATATGTAAAAGTTCGTAAAATTATATTTGTTGTATTGTTAATGAAATGTATATCAGTAAATAAATCAGATAGCATAGTATGATATATTTATAAACTCCCCCGGATCCCGTTGATCTATTACAGAGCGAAGGTGCCTTGGATTGAAACTTGAGATTCTGTTTTGTTTAACTATTTCGATCGATCCAAATGAACAGCGAACACGTACAAACTTAAAGTTTGGGGTCGCAAACATCGGAAGAGCATCGGTGAACTGTAAACTTGCCTCGTATCTCATATTCAAATAGTGTAGGGGCCGGGATGCTTGGAACTAACGAAGCGGGTGGCGGGTGGCAACTTGTAAGAAATACAAACTTGTTCTTTCACAGGGGAGACAGGCAACTGTGTCACGTCACTGTGTTTTCTAACATAACTTTTATCACGTGTACGGAACTCTTTGATTTCAGTACGACAATACCATTAATTTATATGTGCCAAAATAAAATTTTAAATGAGAGCGTATAAATACAAGAACCGCTCATTATAAACTTAAACAAACAAAAGTCTAACGTGTACACGAAAAAAGTAATATAGCCCAAAGCGGCGGGAAAGTGGAAAAGAAGTTAAGAGGTGTCTATTTGTCACGTTCCTTCCTGAATAACGCTCTGCTTTCCAATTAAGGGTAAGCGCTCTCTTTGTTTATCTTAAATTGCGAGAAAATCTCACTCAAATTATCGAGCTAAAAGACAAAGGGGAGATCGGTGCCCCGCGAACATAACTTTTGTTTCGTTCCGGAATAAAAAGTTGCCTATCAGATGTAAGGGGACGGGAGCAGGGAATTTTTAATAAGCGAAAAATTTAATGAGGGACCCGACCACTTTTTGCAAGAGGACGCTGTGTCAGCTAGCCGGGGAACGGACACCTATCACTTTGATTTTCAGCAGGAATATTAATTATGCGCGGATTCATTACTTCTTTATTTGAATGTCGACATAAACATGGCGTAGGTGTGTCTCTTGCGAAACTTTAGCAGATTGCCTTGTTTTTAGCTAGATAACATTCATCGTCATTGACCACTGTGATCTCAGATAGAGTAGTTCACACATAAATTTAGCTAAGGTAATATGACCACGTAACATCATGTATTTTTTCTAAAATAAAAAATAAATATTATAATAAGTTAAATACATTCTATTTCATTATCAATGAAAGTTTGTACAGATGTTAATTTTTTTATTTAGATTTTTGTTTGAAACGTTTGTTACTTGAATGGATGTAGGTATTGCAAAGAAAGGTATACATACTATAATATTTTAGATTAACTAATATAAAGGGGATATAAATAAATATAAAATTTATAAAAATTTAATTCAATCAGGCGTTTGGGCCACCTCATTATACAAGTACTTACCATCGAACGATGCAATAAGAGGCCAATTTACCGCATCAGTAGTCAAGAAGCGACATCTGCTAATCGATTGATTGACCCCCACCTTACAGAAAAAAATACACCCCATGCTCGTTTATTCCCGTTTTCCTCGTGCTCCTTTAATTGGTCTGTATTTTGCACTTTTTAGCCACTTTTTAAAAATGACGGACATTTTCAAGTCAAAGGTTTTATTTCGTAGTAATTTTGTCTTGAGACTTTTAATGTAATGTTATATTATTTAATAATGATGATCTAACGTCATTATTTTTTGTAATATTTTTCCTAAAAGACGAGTGTTGGCAAACAAGATAACTCATCATTTGATATCAGAAGAAATACAAAACAATTTCCTTGATTTTTGGTTGTCTGATTTTATGTTTTAACT